AATATTGGATACTGTCTTGCAATGTGCATAAATGCAAAAATATTAAACGCAATACATTGTATCATTTAATGTACAGGAATGCGTGCAGTAAATAGAAGATATGGATATAAGAAATTCAGAGAAACGTTTCCGGTTATAAGAGTATTGTGATATTTTAGTGCCGAAGGATTTCTTATTGTTGGATCGGAAAGGACACACCCAAGGTCCAGCAGTCTTTTATGTTTGAATATTGTTATACATCACATAAAACAAATTTTTGGATAGATTCGATCATAGAAATTCCAGTTTCAGCAACGAATAAAAAAATTGCTGTATTTATACATAATATTAATTCATTGTAGTACCCGTATATATTTTTAAAATTTTCGACTTGTAATGAATTGTTATATTAACAAAAATAACTAAAAAACGATTCTGAAATGAACTGAACTTTTGAATCGTTTATGGGGCTGAAATGAGTTAATTCAACAGTATAGAATTTCAACATTTCGCATTTTGTAAAATTTATTTAACAATTAAACCATAGATAACCTTGAATACTAAAGACAATAACTGTTTTCTCCATGTGCATAATGCATTATGCAGAGTTCAAGCATTTTACTTCATAAGAATTATTTTCATGGGTTTAAAATTTTTAACACATATTCGAACAACACAAAGGGTTATAATGTTATATATATTCACAGTTGGGTCAAAAATTAATAATGTACCGTGTAAAGTATAGCGGGGACTTCAAGGTCTGCGGGTAGAAATGTCCACCACCGATAATTCAAAAACCAGATAAACGGCAATGTTTGAAAATCCATAACTAAAGAATTTTCTTTGGTTTTTAGTTTTATTGGTTGTAAGCACTGTTGTTCAGTTTACGAAACCTTAATATTATTTTTAAGTAAACTTTATTTGATTGTTTTATAAGATGTTAAGATGTATTGCTAATGTTAAGTTAGATAAAAGCTTACACGTTTACACACAGTTTTACAAGAGAAGAGTTAATTAGATATTTCAACTATGCTGATGATTACTTCTGACGAAATACCAGATCAAGATTATATACAATGTTATCTCAGTAAAAAATGTACTGATAAAGTTTATATAATATTTTGCATTGATGAAATAATGCATAATATATTTATTATTTATTTGAATAATTATTTAAATAATTAAGACATTGGACCTTTAAAATTAAAAATTAGACATTGGACCTGTTTGCCCTCTGGCCTTTCCATTTTACCTCGCCTACGGGTATTTTCTAAATTCAAAATTAAAGAAAAGATATGATATTAATTCATAGTTTATCGTAAGTAAACATACATAACTGTACATTACCTATCGTCGCCTAATTTTTATGCTCTTATATTTCGTCTATAAAATAGATAAATAATAGTTACAGAATGTATATTTTTTATTTTACAAGCCGTTAGTATAATGATATTATTATAATATTTTACAATTTTTTATATAGTTTAATTAATTAATTTATTTATTATTTAATTAATTTATTATATATTCATTTATGTTAATTTTAATTACTTTTAAAATATAAGTAGTTTGTTTCATATATTTATAAGTGTTTTTACACTTTTTTTTAACAAATTTCAGTATTTTGTTTTGTTATAAATGTTTTTAAATTATAAGTACTTCGGTTAACAAATTTAAGTATTTTTGCAATAAGTTTTTTGTTTAACCAATTTATAAGTATTTTTAAGTATTATAATGATATAAATATTTAGTTTAAAAAAAATTTTCACAACATAAGTATTTAGTTTAACAAATTTATAAGCATAAGATATAATATATAGTCCGCTGTTATGTCATGACGAGTTAATAGCTAGTATCCGTCGATCCGTAGGACCTACAGTCAATCAATTTCTTCGAGGCGGCACAAAGTCGTATTAACGATTAAATCAAGATTTTCGATGAAGTAATTAGAAAAATCGAACTCTAAAAATTCCTGAGTGCTATAAAAAGCTAAATTTGTTTATGCATTGGATGTCACTTTATGAAATTTCTTATTATTAAGGATACGAAGTTGAAACAGCAGTTTATTTATAAAAGGTATAATAGTCTAGTGTAGACCGCAGATAGTGTTGAAGGAAACGTGTAGTTTCTAAGTCCGATCTTTAATTGAAGTCTCGTATTGTACTCAGTATTTGACGTCGAAGACAAATTGAATAATTCCGTTTTTTATGAAATTTAATGTGACTAAAATATTGTTATGAGTACAGCCTACGACATGATGACTAGATGGCAGTAAAAAAATAATGTTTATGCTCTCTTTTACTTAATAAGATAATCCCCAAAATTGGATACCGTAAGCAATATGTGAGTGGAAATTCGCGTAAAAAAATAAACTGGTTCAATTTTAGATTTAAGGGTCCGCAAAATAGAGCATGTACGCGTTAATTTGAAACATAAATGGTTGGAAACGTGTTCAGACCAGTTCAGATTCTTATCGATATAAACTCCTAAGAATTTAGAAACTGTAGAAGAATCAAATAAATTATTATTAATCGTAAATGAAGAAACATTATTCACATGTGTTGGCGTACAAAAAGAATAATTTGTCGTTATTTTGATTTAAAAGTTATCGCTATAGTTTTGTACCATTATGTACAAATACTAACAAAAAAAATTCCTGAAAAAATGTTCTTAAATGTTCCTCAAGACGAGAAACGTAGAAAAAAATTGGTTTCAAGCAGTGCTCCGAGATGATCCTAAAACATGATCTTTTTTTTTTCTTGTGAAGATCACTTTGATGTATGCATTTCGTAATCATATTGTTATTAATTATTTTTTATGTAAGAGTTCAATGTAAATAACTATAATGATTATTAATTAATTAAGACTACTGAATGCTTAACTTCGTATAGATTTTAACAGTTCTGAAAATATATTTTTGGACCAAAATACTAGGTATTTCTTAATAAGAGATTGTGTATATTTACCATCATATTACAATTTTTACCATAAATTTTCATTGTCTTTAAAATTTGAATCTTTTTTTTCAAAAATCCGTGATCATAAATATATAAATATCAGCAACATTATTAGAAATTGCTTTTACAAATTCTGTATCACACATATTTGAAGGAAATTAACTTTAATAAATTATTTATAATAGAAAATTTACCACTTTTTTGTATAATATTAGGTTGTCAAATATCTTCCTTCCGCTTTTTTGCTCTTGGTTTATAATACAAAAAGGCGGAAGGGAGATATTTGACAACCTTATATTTCAAGTTCTGTATAATATAGCCATAAGCCTAGACGATATAATAATGGCCTCAAGCATAATTTTGACGCCACAAATGTGGTGGCCAATCGTGGCGCGTTTGCAGTCACATGATTTATTTACAATTTTAAGCGTCTACAATTAATTGAAAAAAATCCGTTTTTTTTATTTTACATATGAATAAAATTGATAATGCAGTTTCAAAACACATACAAATAAACAAGTTTATTTTTTTTCAAATTCCTATCGAAAATTAGTAATTTATTAGGATAGAGCCGGGCTTAAAGGTCGGCGGGTAAAAAGATCTACCATCATTATCTCAACAGCGAGCAAAATATAGAATTTTTTGATTATACTATTTTAAAGTAGAAATCCACCATCACCTTAATTCTTACGACGTCGCTATCGAGGGATAAACGGAAATGAATCAATTTTCCTACCAAAAGTATTTGTAGTTGGTAAAGTTAAACTTGTAGTTTTCTCTCTTCGTTATTAAGATTCATTAACAATTCACTCAATGCAAAATTTACTGGATTTTTTCGCTATCATAGACTATATTGATGTCTAATAAATTTAATACAAAACAAATCGGACATTAAAAATAATTAGACAATGATAAGATTCCAATATTTTGGAACCAAAGTGTCTGTATATAAACAATATTTTTGTTATATAGACAAAATGAATGAATGCGCATACGTGAACCTAATTAAATGATAATGACACATTAACGATAGTGATGCTTGATTGACAAAAATTTTTGAGGCAGATTGATAACAATGGAAATGTGAATAATTGATTGACTGTTAATAAAAGTGATAAAATTGTCAATAAAAAATACGTGCTCCTGTAAAGTTCAGCTTCAGTATATCCACGAATAAGTATAATAAGTAAATAGTTTTTACATTAATTTTTAGGTTAACTTTTTTGTATAATATTAGGTTGTCAAATATCTTCCTTCCGCTTTTTTGCTCTTGGTTTATAATACAAAAAGGCGGAAGGGAGATATTTGACAACCTTATATTTCAAGTTCTGTATAATATAGCCATAAGCCTAGACGATATAATAATGGCCTCAAGCATAATTTTGACGCCACAAATGTGGTGGCCAATCGTGGCGCGTTTGCAGTCACATGATTTATTTACAATTTTAAGCGTCTACAATTAATTGAAAAAAATCCGTTTTTTTTATTTTACATATGAATAAAATTGATAATGCAGTTTCAAAACACATACAAATAAACAAGTTTATTTTTTTTCAAATTCCTAATTGTCATAACACATAGGTTCGTGTTCTGACAAGAATGGCGGATTGCTTCCCAAGCACCTCGAATAGCATAATACAAAAACAGAGTCATTCGTCCCTGTCAATATAACAACATCATAGTCAATTAGAAAATATTTAAGACAATCGTTAATAATGATTCAGTCTAATAATCTATTTGAAAGCATTTAAGACAATTGTTATTAATCATTGATCAATCGTTACTGGTTATTGATTATTTTTATTTCTCAAACGTTTAATTGCGGTAGAGAAGATCCAGCAACTTATCTAAAGGCACGACGCCATGCACCATTAGTTTATAAACCATCACGAATGATGGTTTTAACTCTTTGCTATAAGGATCATAATTAAAACATTGCCTACACACTCGGTAACGACATGGCATGCGAGATAAAAACTACGGCAAATGGTATGATACGGATACCAAGAGTATTAGAACCATCTCGTTGGCTCAGAAAACACCTAAACATGACTCCTAACTCACCGTGCCGATGCAATATGCGACACCGTTATCAAAGAAGGTGTCGAGCAGCGCGACCTCCTGCTCGAAATGCTTGTGCGGCGAACACTGGAGCTCCGGCCGCTTAAAGTTCTTCCGCGAGTAGAATACGTCCTCGACGCACGTGTAGCCTGCGATTTGTTCCGCGAGTTCCAGCAGCGGCTCCAGGCACTGCAGCGGGGTTGTTGTGCCGCACGTTTTCAAAATCCACCGACGGCGGGACACAAACATGCTGCTCTCACTGAAAATAAGATTAAATAGATTTAATTAACCGTTCACATAATTCACAATTAAAATCACAATCATAAAATTTCTAAATAATATTATTGCAACTTAGCAATCGATTCTTTTGTGTTTATAAACATGTTCATAACACGTTCTGGGCTGTTTGAAAAAGCTGGAGTTTGCTTATTTTAACTTTGATGTAATTTCTATGTAAATCAATTTGTTACAGCACTTTTTAACTTCCCGTAGGGTAGGTTATAGTAATCGCAAAAAAATCGAAAATGAAAATTTTTGCATTTCTCGACGTTTCAAAGGTTTCTGAATATTTTGGCATACCTTAAAAAAAAATGGATGTATGTGTGTGTGTGTGTGTGCGTGTGTGTGTGTGTGTGTATGTATGTATGTATGTATGTTCAGATACAAATTTTCGTCGACGATTTTAGGAACACGGATTAACCGATTTGAATAATTCAAAAAAACATTCGATTTGTATTGATAAGGAGACGTGCTGATTAGTTTTTGGCGAAGGCAGGTCTAGCCGTTCCGAAGATACGGGGCAAAAAGTGCCGAAAACGGTAACTCGGTTAGTTTTTAAGAGAACGAAGCGTCCGATTTGAATAATTCAAAAAACATTTTTTTTGTATTGACTAAATGAAGAACTGTTCAAATTTTTGGAAAGGCAAATCCAACGACTTTGGAGATATGGAGGAAAAAGTAAAAACATGAGCCATTTTGCGGTCAAAAATGAACATTAGACATATGTACGAGGTGTGTTCAAAAAGTACCCGGAATTTTTAAATTTCGCGGGTCTGGAGTGTCTGATTGTCAAAATTTTTTTTTATTGTGTTGGTATACATGCCCCTAAAGTATGATGAAATTTTCAGCTATATTCACTGTTTACTTTGTCTGTGGTAGTCGCTAAGGTTCGACGTGTTTTTCTGAGCTCGGCGATTTTTACAATGGAAGAATTGAAAAGTCAAAGAATTTGTATTAAATTTTGCGTAAAAAATGAAATAAAGTGTAACAAAGTGTGTGAAATGTTACAAAAAGCCTATGGTGAGTCTGCTATGAAAAAAACAAGTGTTTACGAGTGGTATAAGCGTTTCCAAGATGGCCGCGAAGACGTTGAAGATGACGAACGCTCCGGTCGACCCAGCACGTCAACACACGATGAAAATGTGAAAGAAGTGGAAAAAATGGTTATGAATGATCGCCGAATCACAATTAGAGAAGTTGCTGATGAAGTTGGCATATCAATTCATTAACAATTCATGGCTGTTGCACCACGATAACGCACTTGCTCACTCGTCGTTGCTTGTTCGTAATTTTTTGGCCAAAAACAATACCGTAGTCATGCCCCAACCTCCATATTCACCAGATATGGCTCCGTGTGACTTTTTCCTATTCCCAAAGTTGAAGAGACCCATGAAAGGACGGCGGTTTTCCTCGATTGAAGAAAATCGCCGAGAGTGCTCAAGGACATATCAAAAAGTGAATATCAAGGGTGCTTCGAAAATTGGAAAAAACGCTGGCATAAGTGTATTATATCTGGGGGGGACTACTTTGAAGGGGACCACATTAATGTAGACGAATAAATAAATATTTTTTTGAAAAAACGAAAATTCCGGGTACTTTTTGAACAGACCTCGTACATCAAATTATCAGATATTTTATAGAGATTTTAACAATAAGTATAAATTTTGTTTATATTCCTATGGGTTCCGTACCAATGTCTACGCGTTACATGGCGACGCGGCGCTTACGCGCTTTATATTTCATCTTTATGCAGTTAAAGCAGTACGATTGCTTTAAAAAAAAGTTCAGAATTTCCAAAATATTTAAAAATAAATGATTTAAGATAGAATGATTTAATATGGTTCGAAATTGTATTAGTATCAAGTCATTGATCAACTTTTATTGATTATTATTATTGATTAATTTTAATTACTTGAATTTTGAATTGCGGTACGGGAAGTTCCAGCAATTTGCCTTAAGGCACGATGCCCTAATTGCCTTAAGACAGAATTCCACTTACAACTAGTTGGTTTATAAATATGTACATCATAGAGTTCTTTTTAATGCGTTCTGGACTGTTTGAAAAAGCTGGAACTTCCCTTATTTTAACTTCTATGTAATTTCTATGTAAATCAATTTGTTACAGCATTTTTTAAACTATGAATACAATATAACTCAATATTTACTTTAATTTTATCGAAAATTAGTAATTTTATTAGGGTAGAGCCGGGCTTAAAGGTCGGCGGGTGAAACGATCTACCATCACTATCTCAACAGCAAGCAAAATATAGAATTTTTTGATGATACTATTTTAGTAGAAATCCACCATCATCTTAATTCCTACGACGTCGCTATCAAGAGATAAACGAAAATGAATCAATTTTCCCACCAAAAGTATTTTTTCTAGTTGGTAGCTTTTTTTTGGTTTTGAGTTTTTTTTAGTTTATGATACCTGAATATAATTTTTAAGCTGTTTACTAGATTATACTTGTAGCTTTCTCTCTTCATTATTACCATTCATTAACAAATCACATACTATTCATTCAATGCAAAATTTACTGGAATTTTTCGCTATCATAGACTATATTGATGTCTAATAAATTTAATACAAAACAAATCACAGATTAAAAATAATTAGACAATGATAAGATTCCAATATTTTGGAACCAAAGTGTCTGTATATAAACAATATTTTTGTTATATAGACAAAATGAATAAATGCGCGTACGTGAACCTAATTAAATGATAATGACACGATAGTGAGTTTGATTGACATTTTTTTTGAGGCAGATTAATAACAATGGAAATGTGAATAATTGATTGACTGTTAATAAGCGCGATAAAATTATCAATAAAAAAATACGTGCTCCTGTAAAGTTCAGCTTCAGTATATGCACGAATGAATTTATAAATAGTTTTTATATTAATTTTTAGGTTTTGGAATTATATTCATTTAGAATGACTAAATTCTGCGTTTAATAATAGTCCAATTTGATTTTAACTCATATACTACACACCGATCAATTTGACTAGATACACAAATTGGACTTTGAAATCTCTTTGCTCCAATGGATTGGTAATTTCTTATCAATTACATTTATGAGCTAATTTCCTGTCAATGGGTCAATAAATGACAGATCTCGCCTTACGAATAGTTTTAGTTAACACGTGTTTGATAGCTGTCTAATGTTTATTTAACCTGCTAGAAATGCAAGTGTCGACAAATTGCCAAAAGTTGTCTATGAATAGAATGAGACTGCTCTATATCAGATTTTTGGAACGAGTTGAACGTTAATATTTGCAACGTGGTACTTGCAGCTGCATGGCTGCTTGATTTGCTAATTATTCAAGAAACGAGTATTTTCAGAAATAAATTAAATATTAAATAATTAATATATTATAATCAAATAATTATATAAATATATATATATATACACCTAAGTTTGTTTTTACACGGTCTTTTTGTACACGGTTTTGATATAACACGATTTGAAAATTGAATATTTTTAATTTTTTTACACGATTTTATTCCATTTAGCACGATTTGAAATTTTATGTACTTAAATTTTTTTGTCAAATTTAATTTTTGCGATGTATGTTCATATCACAAAAAAGTACTTATGAAAGAAAAAAGTCTGAAACCATCGATAGTATCGATAGTTTGCGAACACTAGCTTAAAGATTTAAGTGAATTCCCCTTTAGCGCGTACAAACAATTTTTACTGGTCAAAGCAAATGTGAATAGCACTAATTTAGGGGAATTATTATTAAAATAAACTTGAATTCTTGTTCTTGAAAATTCTTGTTTTTCACTAATTTTAATAGGTTTTAGAGAGTAGGACAAATCACCCATTTTTGTATAAGATCAATGTCTTTTTTACACGTTTTTTTACACGGCTTCTTCTGGAACCAATTTCCGTGTAAAAACAGACTTAGGTGTGTATATATATATATATATATATATATATATATATATATATATATATATGTATATGATAAAATTGTTCTTGGGCATCCATCCAGTAATTAAAAACAGTTTTATTCAAGAAAAATGTTTTTATTATGAAAACATACGTTTCGGGTCTTGATTTGGCCCATCTTCAGTGCATACAAATAAAATGAAAAAAAAGAAACACACAGAAATTGCACGAAAAAATTATGAAACACAAATTGATAAACGTCCAGTTAAATGACAAATTTTAAACAATTGTAAAATAAAATAAAAATAAACAATATATGTTTTATAAAAAAGCTTATTCCAAACGAGGCATGTTGTCAGTTTGGAGTTTGTGTAACAAGACATGTTATAATTGTAAAATTAAAATAAAAATAAATAATATATTTTTATAAATGAGCTTTTTTATAAAAAATATAGTATTTAATTTTATTTTAATTTCACAATTATTTAAAATTTGTCATGTAACTCGACGTTTATCAATTAGTGTTTCATAATATTTTCGTGCAATTTTCGTGTTTTTTTTTTCATTTTGTTTGTATGCGCTAAAGATGGGTCAAATCAAGACCCGAAACGTATATATATATATATATATATATATATATATATATATATATATGTACATGCATACACACTAGCGTTTGTCGGTTTCTAAAAATCGGATTTCGGACGGAAATAATCAAATTCGAAAGTCGGTTTTTAGTGGAAAAAATCGGATTTTACTGTAAAAAATGAAAAATAACAAATGCATAGTCGTCCTCCGTATTTTGAAATTATATTTTATTAAACGAAAATTAATTAGCTCAAAATAGAAAATACTCGTAGTTTTGCTTAATTGTATCTAAAACTGGCATTAATGAAACATATAATGTATATATTTTTTTAATTTTAAGTTTTTTATTTAAAAATGTATTATTTTCATTTATTTGAACTATTTTTTTTCACTATCATGTAAATATTTACATTATTATATCTGAAAATGATGCATAAATAACGAATAATTATTTTCATAGTTATTGAAACCAGTTCAACTATTATTTTTTTGT